TTATTTATATTTCTAATATCTATTCAATATTTCTTAATATTATCATATTTAATTATAATATTTCAAATACATTTATTTTAAATTAAATAGAATTATATGAATAATGATAATATAATAAATTATATGAGTAACTGATATATTAATATTTAAATACATCATTATAATTACTATTAATTATGATAAAAATACAAATAATAATCTAAATTAAATAATGATAATATTTGATAACATTAATTTAAATAAATAATTATCATTCAAATTTAAATTAAAATAAAAATGAAATATAAATATAATAAATAATAACAAATAAATAATATATAATATTAAATGAATATAATCATTTCTATTTAATATAATAACTGATTAATGATAATATTCATCATAAAATAATTATTAACATTATTTATTCTATAATAAATGATAATTTAATACATTTTAACTATTTAAAATATTTAAAACATATTTAAATATGAAATAATTAAAAACATCATAAATTATAATGAAATATTCATTATTAAAATTAAAAATCAATTTCAAGTATTTGAATAATTAATAATATGAGAAAATAAAATAACAAGAAGTCAAAAATGAATAATAAAAGAAATGAAACAATTAGATAATGATAATCATAAATAATGATATTCATTAAATTAACAATAAAATCAAATAATCAAATAATTAAAATATTATAAAATATAGAATTTATTTATAATATCATTTTTGTTTAATTTCATGTTTTGTTATCTCTAAATCATTACGCAATATCTTTAATATTCATATTTATTATATTCACAATGAATACTTTCAATTTCAATTGTTATAATATGTTTTTCTCATTGTTTTTATATTCAAAAGTCTTTTATAACTTTTTTATTCAAATAATTAATGAATTAACTCAATTACTTATGGTTTATTCTTTTTGTATCAATACATGTATGCAAAAGATCCTCTTGGTATTGTTTTATTCTTCTTTAACTCTTCTGTACATCCACAGCCATAAAAACAACATTCTCCAAATAATGTAATTGATGATGGTATATTAATTGATGTTAATGATGAACATCCAGAAAAACAATAATCTCCTAATTCACTAATTGTTGTTGGTAATATAATTTCACTTAATGATGGACAATAACTAAAACAATATTCTCCTAATTTACTAATTGATGATGGAATATTAATTGATGTTAATGATGTGCATTCATAAAAACAATGATCTCCTAATTTACTGATTGTTGATGGAATTGTGATTGATTTCAATGATGAACATTTACAAAGACACCAACTACCTAATTTTGTAATTGATGATGGAACAATAAATTCATTGATATCTTTCTTTTCAATATTCTTTCCATTGATTATTTGTAGATTTTTTGGTATTTTAATACTAATTAACACTGGTTCATTTATAAATATTTTATCCTTACTGATGAACTGTACATTTTCTATTTCAAGACTTCTCAACGAATAACATCCATCAAAATCTCTATTTTCAAATGATATAATTGAAGATGGAATATTGATTGATGTTAATGATGTACACCAATTAAAACATCCATATCCTATTTTACTAACCGATGATGGAATATTAACTGATTTTAATGATGAACATTTATTAAAACACCAACACCCAAACTCCCTAGTTGATGATGGTATAGTAATTGATGTTAATGATGAACTTCCACAAAAACAATATTTACCTAATTTACTGATTGTTGATGGTATATTAATTGATGTTAATGATAAACAATCCCCAAAACACCGTTCACCTAATTTACTAATTGTAGTTGGAAGAATCAATTCATTAATGTTTTTCTTGTCAATATTCTCTCCATTGATTATTTGTAGATTTTCTGGTATTTTAAAACTACTTAATACTAGTTGATTAATAAATATTCTTTCTTCACTGATAAACTGTACATTTTCAAGAATCATACTTGTTAATGATGTACATTCATTAAAACACTGATATCCTATTGTACTAATTGTTGTTGGTAT